TAGAGAAAGCAAAGTTCAGTTGCACAAAGTTTAAAAAATAGGAAAAAATGAAAGTGTGCACTGCTTCTACCATTGTTGTATTGTATGGTTGGAATCCAGCCAACAGTTGTTGGGTCTGTGGTGGCATAGGGATGGCATTACCAATTGATGGTTGCATTGAAGCACTTAGCATAGCATTATAATGTAATTGATATGCAGCCATTTGATTTGTGAAAAATTTCATAGTACCCTATAGAAAATGATAGAGAAAGGTCAGTACAGTTGAGGTTTTATAAGAAACAAGCAATATTGTATTATTACTGTCGGCGGGTCATGAGGCTGTAGTTGTATAATATCATTTGTGTTCTTTTTCTTCTTTAAAGTTGCTTTCTTCAAAGGACCATATCGAAAATGATAGAGAAAGGTCAACACATTGAATAATTTATACGAATCAAGTGACTAAATATTATACCGTTGAGGGGCCACGAGGCTCTAGATGCACAATATCATTTGTGTTCTTTTTCTTCTTTGAAGTTGCTTTCTCAAATCCACCAACGGGTCTTTTTGATCCTTTCACAGTCTTCTCCTTGACCTTCATACCTTTTGGTTTTGCAAGCCCCTCACCGTGTTTTGAAATTCTACTAGAGGCGATGTTCATTCCTGCCGGTATAATGCCAAATATCAGTCGTTGTTCAACAATAGTGTAGGTAATTATTGTTAGTATAGTTTGTACCTTCTTTAGTACTGGAGTTACCCAAATCTGGATTAGCACTAACCAAATCTGGATCATCGCGAACCAAATCTGGATCAGCGCGAACTAAATGTGGATCGGCGATAACCAATTCTGGATCAGCTCTAATCTTCAAGCATTTCTCCACATCTTGTGCTAATTGCTCTGCACACTTAGCAGCCTTATAGTATGATTCTTCGGACTCAGCGGCACGAGCAGCTATTTTCACAAATATTCTACATAGTTCCTTGTAGCGGTTAGACATTCTTGCTTTTAGCTTATCATGCGGGTTGCATTTTCTTGTTATATCTAGAACTTTGGCATCAATTGTCCATCTTTTCAAGATATATTCCCCAGGGATATGCTTGATATTGTTAATATCAAGTACCTTTAAGCAATGAGAGCAAAGAATTCCAGCAAACTCAAACCTTTTGCAACTGCAGCTAATCTTTTCTTCTTTTGGAATGAATCTAACAACATGTTCTCGTTGTGTGCCATGAAATTTTGCTACATAAATCTTCACCTTTGTGTCACTTTCATCACAAAGCATTGTGTCATAGTTCAGAGTCCGAAGCACTTGATCTTGAACCATCTTGAATATTGCTGGAGTATATGTAGTTGCAGCTTGTTTGAACATATAGCTAGATTCAGCCTTCAACTTGGGAGTAGTCTGTGTTGCTTTAAAGTCATACTTCACCTCTTCACATCTTTTATCCGAAACTAGACATTCAAAATGCTCAAAGAAAGTAAGCATGTCATATTTAATACTAATGTATCTCTTCAGTTCATTGTTCATGCTTTCACTTCTTTGGGTAGTGCTCATGTGGGCAGAGAACGTATTTTTACCATACACTAGTGCCCAGTGTTCCTTTTTCTCAAATAGCCTTTGCAGTCATTCATGACGCAGTCCATACTTGTCAATCATTTTATCCCATGCACCTAAAAATTCATCCTCCTCTTCTATATCATATATACAGTGCTGAAAATCAACATTGAACTTCTTATATTCGTCAACAACTCCGGCGAGGTGCTTGCAAGCATTTTGATTCATATGCCACACACAAAGTCTATGGTGAGAATGAGGAAAGACTTCACGAATTGCCTTCGCCATTGCCGCATCTTCATCGGTGAGAATTGTACATGGATGTTTTCCTGACATAACTTTTAGGAAAGTTCTGAAAAGCCAAGCAAAACTAGCAGCGGTTTCATCATATAGAAGTGCAACACCAAAGACAATAGTTTTCTTATGATTATTCGCCCAGACAATCAAACCAAATGGACGTCCATCATCTAGTTTTCTATATGTGGTGTCAAAGCATATAACATCGCCGAACATTGCATAGTCTGAAACCATTTTGGAGTCGGCCCAAAAAATATTAGTTATCATCTCATCC